AATTTATATCCTTAGTATGCTCTATCTTGATAGTGACACTATTTCTCCCAGAATTTGTCCTTTCACCATGTGCATCGGCTTGCTTCCATCTCTGTTTGCTTTTCTCTTCCCCAGGTTTCGGAAAGGGAGCGAGCATTTGGCTGCTTCCTCAGCAGGATGACAGCCTGCTGCAAAGCTTCCTCCCCAGCGTGAGATCAGAGCCTGCCGCTGGGCCTGCAAAATGCGAATAGCCAAACTAGGCCAAGGATGACTCCTCCGCCTCCGCTCCCTCAGACTCTTACTGGGAGTTTCAGAGTATTCTTTCCAGACCTTAGAGCCTTATTAGGATCTATTTTTATTTTTCTTTCTTAGTCCCTAAAGGAAACTGAGAGCCAGCATATTCTGCTACATTGGTATCAAAGAACTAAACAGATCACAGAAGCCAGATTCGTCATCACTATTGCTCTGTAGCAAAAGGCCTTTTCTTAAGAAGGTGCTGCAATAAACTTTCCTTCATTTCCCATGTAACATTTTTTGTTTACTTATTTGTATTTTATTTTGCCATTCTGGGGGGAGAAAATACAATTTCAACTATAATAAATGTCCCTTTTTATTATTTTCTAATTTTTATTTTTTGGTGCTATTGAATTAGAAAAAAGATTCTCATAATTTTTCTCTTCCAATACACTTCTTTTCTTATTCAGAAATTTTAATTCAAATGTATAAGAATAAGTTCTAATTCTTAAAAGTCATTGAGTAATATATTGAGTAAAGCCTCCAGTTAATTACTGGAAAATGAAGCAGTATGTACTATTTCAGTCACCAAGTCGATATGTGAAAAAATATGTTTCAAGTATGATTCATTTTCCACTTTCCGTCAACCTGGTTTAATCTCCCTGTAGCTCTGTTTTTAGCTCTCTAGAGGCTGGAAATTTTCTTGTTAAAAAGCTCTATTAACTGGTCTTTTTTGCTGCTACTATATAGTTTTCTGCTTGTCTAGTGCTGCTCTCTGGTGACTATTTCTTGAATTGCATACCATAGACTTGCCACTTAATCTGGAAAACAAAACAAAACCAAACCAGAACAAAACTGAACCAATAATGTGTAAAATGTATACAATATAGATGGCTTTGTTTATGTTTATTGTGCCCCCTGTAAATAAAACCTCCAAGGCAGAACAGATTTCTTTGTGCAAAGTTATTGGGGATAGAAATATTAAAGCTAAGGGAGGATTCAGGCATACATACTTGGTATCAACCAGCTTGCTAGGCAGGCTTGCTGGTAGGACTAAACAAAACTGGTGCAGGTATGGGAGGGATTTAAGACAACAGGTGGAGACTTTCCTATAGTGTGTTCTTTTTTTTAAAAAAATATATTATTATTATTATTTTCTCTAGATATCAATCTCACTGATAGGCCTATTTCTTGCTCCCAAGCTAAAGTCAGAAATTGCTTCTGTGGAAGTAGAAGCCCAAAACTATTTCCCAGATCCGTGCTAACACTCCAGTGGTGCTTGTAGAAAGAGAAAGGAAGGGGAGAGCATGTGAACTGTCACTGATATTTGATTCCCATCAGTAAATCCTGGAGCAACAGAGCTCTACATTCTGATAGTATTTGGCATCTTTGCTGGGAATGGGTAAATGGAACCAGTCACGGACAGCTGCCTTGGACCTGATTTCTAATTTGGTATTGTTGTTGTTGTTAGGTACTGTTGAGTCGAACCCGACTCATAGTGACCCCTCCTTGGTATTTAGTATACAGTTATTTTGTGGGTGTGGGTGAGAAAGCAGAAAGCAAAGTACATTTACTGCACACTTACTACATGTGCAAGATGATCTTATTTCATAAACATTGTGATGGATTGAATTGTCCCTCCAAAAGATATGTTGAAATTCTAACCCTTGGTACCTGTGCATGTAACCTTGTCTGGAAATAGGGTCTTTGAAAATGTTATTTGTTAAGTTAGCATGAGGTTATACTGGCATAAAGGAACCCCAGTGGTACTTGTTTAAGAAGAGTTCATCTGTTAACCAATAGGTCAGCAGGTCAGATCTACCAGTGGCTCTGTGGGAGAAAAGACCTGGCTATCTGCTCCCATAAGGATTATAACCTAGGAAACTCTTTGGGGTAGTTCTACTCTGACCTATAGGGTTGCTATGACTTGAAGATACACAACAACAACAACAACAACAATATTGTAGTAGAGTGGATCCTAATCCTCTGTGGTTTATTCAAAAGAGGAGAGGAGACACAGACAGAGGGATAGCCATGTAAGGCTTCATCTACAAGCCAAGGAATGCCTGGGGCTACTTGAAGCTGAGAGTGACAAGGAGGGATCTTCTTCTAGAAACTTCAGAGAAAGCATGGTCCAGCCAACATGTTGATTTGGATTACTAGCCTCCAGAACCACGAGATTATATATTTCTGTTCATATAAGCCACCAAGTTTGTGTTATGGCAGCCCTAGGTAACTAATACAGACATCATCTCATCTGTTCTCATGACAACCCTGTTTGTGAGGTGGATATTTTTGTCTTTATCTAAAGATGGAGGAACTCTGGCCTAGAAAGATTGAGCAATTTTACAAGATCATACAGCTTAAAATGAGCACTTAACTGTGCTCATGAAGAGCCTGTACATAGACCAAGAGGCCGTCCTTCAAACAGAACAAGGGAATACTGCATAGTTTAAAAATCAGGAAGGATGTGCATTGGGGTTATAGCCTTTCACCATACTTACTCAATCTGTATGCTAAGCAAATAACTGTAGAAGATGGACTATAGAGAGAAGAATGCAACATCAGGACTGGAGGAAGATTCATTAAGATATGCACATAACACAACCTTGCTTGCTAAAAGTGAAGAAGACTTGAAGTATTTACTGATGGAGATCAAAGATTACAGTCTTCAGTATGGATTATATCTCAACATAAAGAAAACAAAAGTCCTCACAATTGGACCAATAAGCAACATCATGATAAATGGAGAAAAGATTGAAGTTGTCAGGGATTTCATATTACTTGGATCTACAACCAACAATCATGGAAGCAGTAGTCAAGAAATCAGACATCGTACTGCACTGGGAAAATCTGATGCAAGGGACCTCTTTAAAGTGTTAATGAGCAAAGATGTCACTTTGAAAACCAAGGTGTGCCTAACCCAAACCATAGTGTTTTCAGTAGCCTCATATGTGTGTGAAAGTTGGACAGTGAATAAGGAAGACTGAAGGAGAATTGATTTGAATCATTGAATTGTGGTGTTGAGAAAGAAGACAGAAAATACCAAGGACAACCAGAAAAATGAACAAATCTGTCTCGGAACAAGTGCAGCCGGAAAGCTCCTTAGCAGTGAGAATGGTCAGAATTCCTCTCACGTACTTTGGTCAGAAAGGAACAGTGCCTGGAGAAGGATATCATGCTTGGTAAAGTAGAGGGTCAGAAAAAGGAGAAGACTCTCAACGAGATGGATCGACACGGTGGCTGCAACTATTAGCTCAAGCACGCAAGGATTTTGAGGGTGGTATAGGGCCAGGCAGTGTTTCTTTCTGTTGTACAAAGAGTGGCCAAGAGTCTGAGCTGCCTCAACAGCACCTAACAACAACAAGAAAAACAACAACACACAGCTTACAATGGTCAGCCCCAACACAAAATCTAGGTTGGCCTGATTGTAAAGCCCATGCTCCTCTAGAACACCATGAGGCTGTGGGATAAGAGTATATGCATCAGATCAATGGTTAGGGAAGGTGCAGTATTTAGTTGGCTCAATGACTGATTAAATTACTTTTGGACTGTGCTTTGGACTTGGTCTATTGGCTGTTTTCCTAACATCATGCTACTCCTAACATCATGCATTGCAGGGTAGAGTTGGAGTGGGAGGAACAGTGAGTGGGGAGAGGGAAGTATCAACCTACTGAATCTTAGAGCATCTGAACAACTCTTTCATATCCTAGGTGAGACACAATGGGTCTTTACTAGTTTAAAATATTTTTAATTGCTATACTGAAAAAGATGGGTGCTTAAGGAATATAGTTGTAGGAAAGAAGTCATTCTTTACTGGAAATTGCTTGTTTACTCTCTGATTTGTGTAAGAGAAGTATTATGGACAATTCTGGGAAACAGAAAACACAGGCAGGACATACTATTCTGAATTTGGGATTTATTCTTATGCAGAGGGAGCTAGGGGAATAGCATAGAGAAGCTTTAGTTGTAGCTTTACAATTTCATTCCTTTAAAAAGAAGTTGGCAATAGCTGTTGATATACTTCTTTTTAAATCTGTGTCCTGAGTACACCAAAGTCTGTTACAATATTTTTTCTGCATGAAATATTTCATAATTTAAATTGTAACATGGAAAAGTAGCAGACACAATTTTCCTCACTATCTTTTTTTTTTTTTTTTTCACCACAGTGTAAGGAAAGCCCCTATCAAGGACTGTGAACCTTCAAAATGAGATAGAAAGTATATCCTCTTAATAAACTGAGCCATAATCTTAAAGTATACCATGAAGTCAGTGTTGAGGTTTTGTTGCCTCGAAGTTGCTCTTCAGTGTAATATTAAAAACTACAACAATAGCAGCAAGAAGTGTATATAAAATATTCCTTTAAAAATACAGCCAGAGGGGAAAATAGGATTAGATAAAGTTCTAAAAACTTATAGGGCAACAAAGAGTCTTTCTTTAAATTCATTGAATATGTTTGGATGAGTTGCTAACACCTTGAAGGCTTTTCATGTTTTGAAAGCTGTCACTCTTGGAAAGGAAATAATGCTAGGACCATGTTCTGTATGTCTACCATACTTTCTACTATTTGAAGCATGTTTTTATACATTATTTCAATTGATTATACAACTCCTTATGACAAGAAACAGAAACAGAGAAGTTAAGCAATTCACTTAACTACAGAGTTGGTTAGTGACAGAACTAGGCTCTCACCCCAGTCTTCGGATGCCTCATCTAGGGATTTGTTCTCATTGTATCCCTCCATCCCCGCCTCTGCCCACCTCCAAGACTTAGTGAAACTGACATACCTGTTCATGAGACCACGTCCTTTCAGAACCATCCTTGACACAGGTGTCCAGCCTCAGCTCTGTTCCCATAGCTCCGTGCTTGCTGTCCACACAGAGATTTGCTGCCACATTTCGAATCTGTGGAAAGAAGAAAAATGTTGAGTGTGGGATTGCTTTTTCTTTTTGTACTTCAAGCTCTGGTATCAACTAGGTAATAAATACTTTTTTCACATGACTATTGAATAATGGGGAGCTCTGGTAGTGTAGTGCCTAAGGCACTTGACTGCTAACCAGAAGACTGGTGGTTCAAACCCACCAGCCACTCCTTGGAAGGAAGTTTGGGCAATCTACTTCCATAGTGATACTGCCTCAGAAACCCAAGGAGGGGTCGCTATAAGTTGGGTCCCACTTGACAGCACATAACAACAACAACAACATTGAATGATGTATTAAACTTGTATGCAACTTACAGAGAAGAAGCAGGGATTTAAATATAACATGATCTAGTCCACCACCAGGAGCTCTGGTGATGTAGTGCCTAAGGCATTTGACTGCTAACCAGAAGGCTGGCGGTTCAAACCCACCAGCCACACCTTCGAAGGAAGGTTGGGCAATCTACTTCCGTAGTGATACCACCTTGGAAACCCAAGGAGGGGTCACTATGAGTCAGATATGACTCAATGGCAGTGTGTTTGGTTTTGGTTTAGTCCACGACCTACCTGTCTGTTGTTTGTTGGACTGTGGTAGCTTATGTGCTGCTATTATACTTGAAGCTATTTCAAATACCAGCAGGGTTACTCATGATGGACGAGTTTCAGTGGCACTTCTAGACTAAGATAGACTAGAAAGAAAGGCCTGGAAACCTTACTCCCCAAAATTGGCCAATGTAAACCTCATGGATCACAGCAGAACAATGTCTGATATAATGCTGGAAAGTGAAAAATATCAACAAACATGTAAATGACACAGGACTGGGAAGTATTTTGTATTGTTACACATAATGTTGCCATAGGAGCTCTGGTAGCATAGTGCCTAAGGCACTTGACTGCTAACCAGAATGCTGGTGGTCCAAACCCACCAGCCACTCCTCGGAAGGAAGGTTGGGCAATCTACTTCCATAGTGACACTGCCTTGGCAATCCACGAAGGGGTCGCTATGAGTCGGGGCCGACTCGATGGCACATAACAACAACAATAACAAGGTCACCATGAGTTGGAGTTGACTCATAGCAACTAACAACAATGTAACAAGCCTACATGTAAAAGAATATGAGATGGTTAAGTAGCAGAACTACAATTGGCTGTGGCAAAGGAATGTGTGAAGATGCAACACAGAGAATGGCAAAGAGTTCATGATTTCTGAAAAAAGGGAGATTTTTCTTTTTTGGACAGTTACCTGGAATCTGTTATCTTCCTGCTTCAAAGTATCTTCTACTATTATTACTTTAGCTGGGAGAGAAATTCAGTAAGAGGCAGGTAATACAGGTGAAGTATGTGATGATAGGGTGAATCACTTAGCATTGCATAGCTCTGTGTAGGACAGGGTGACCTTATATTCCTGTTTGCCAGGGAACATCTTGGTTTACACCTGGGTTCCTGCTTTAGCATTTCTTGTGGATAAATTAAATGCCACTCTAGAGCAGTAGCAAAATAGGAAAAACAGTGTAATTGACATAATACTATACTGCCCAAAGATTCTCTTCTTAGAGCTTGAACTTTGAAAATTACAGAGAGAGAAAATGCCTGGTAATTCTCTACAGTTATTACATTAGCCTTTATACAAGGTTCTGAACAGTTAGGATAGGAAATGGATGGACTATAAAAATGATCAACAGCAGAGACCACACCAGAAGCAAGGTAGGGACAGATATGTTTCCCTCTGTAAACAGTTAAGTAAAGAGTTCACCAATTCTCCTGTTAGTGTCAGAATCACACCATGTAACAGAGTTGAATATTCTTTGTAGTTTTGTTACTTAGATGTGTATGCTTAGGAGGTGTTTAGTAATCTATTATCCCAATTAGTTCTTTTTATGACTTTATATAGTCCTAGATTATAACACAGGTAGTCCTTGACTCATGAATTACTCAGTGCACTAACTGTACTTTAAACCATATCTATGTATAATCGGTACATCTGTTGTTAGTAATATGCTCTACATACAATGTTGCAGTACATAATTTACTGTTGTCATTCTCAGATGTTCACTTGCAGATGTTCAATGTTATGATTTACTGATCAAAACACTGTTGTATGTCTATAACCTGATCTAAAATGAATAGCAATGTCCCACTCTAAAGACACAGGACAATTTAACTGTGTACATGGCTGATAGCCATTACAACTCCAACTTCATTGCTATGACACTGACGCTAAGAATTAAATATTAAATCTATAAAGATACTGATAATAGAAGCCAATAATAATGAAAACTAAGAAAAAGGCATACAACTTACATCAGAACGAATTTACAATGGAGTTTTTGGAATGGGACCCTGTAGTAAGTCAGAGACTACCTGGAATCTCTGTAGGTATTGTTAAGAATAGAAAAAAGAATAGCATGAATCCAACTGACAATTTTAGTCAAGGTTCTTTTGCCTGGAATGAGTAGATAAGGTGAGGCACACCTCCCTATCAGAAGGATGTCTGAACTGGCCCTAGTCCCATTGGGATGGGGCAATGACACAAAGAGAAGGTTATCATGAAATATACCAGGTTTATGAGTCCCTGGGTAGTGCAAATGGTTAATACTCTCTGTTTCTAGCCAAAATGTTGGTGGTTTCAGCCCAAGGAAAGGCCTGGGAATCTACTTCTGAAAAAGAGGCATCAAAACTCATATGGAGCTTAGTTCTACACTAACACACATAGAGAGTTGCCACTAGTTGAAGTCAACTCAAAGGCAACTGGTTCTGCATCATGAAGGGACTGGATGATGCTGGGATGGGGGTGGTAGTGGTGGAGGGAGCTATTTCATAGTTCATCTACTTTAGGGATCAACCGAAAAATAAAAAAACAAACTCACTGCTATCCAATTGATTACAACTCCTAGCAACCCCCTTTGGATTTCCAAGGTGGTAAATCTTTACAGAAGCAGATTACCCAGTCTTCCTTCTGCGGAGTGGCTGGTGGGTTTGAACCTCCAACCTCCTGGTTGGCAGTCAAATGCCTTAGGCATTATGCCACCAGAGCTCCTTTAGGGATAGCAGTTGATATAATGTCATCCAGCACAGAATCAATAGGGTGGGTACCAGTTCTGTTTGGGAATTTGGCAACAGGTTGAGATCATCTCTACTGCTGGATCTCTACTTTCAGGAGCTCTGTCTCTGATGATAGGAGAACGTGGAATGATATAGGATATAAAGGAATAGTTCTTAACCTGAGTGGCCTATAGACATCTCTGCAAATCCAAGGAAAGCTGGGGGCACTCTTTCAAAAGCAAACAAACAAACAAACAAAACCATGAATGAATACATACAAGCAGCTTTATATACATTTGCCTGGAATCTATACATTCCAGCCTGGAAACTTGAATTAGGGTATATGTTTGCCTCTCATCTCTTGCAAACCAATTGCATGTCTCCTCTTAGCATCTTGGGATATTCTGGAAAAATTTGGAGTGAACTTGTTTGATGTTGGAGCGCATTCTAAGAAAGATGGCCCTGATTCACTTTTTTGTCTTTTACATTTTCTCCACCTTTCCTGAAACAAAATATCAGAGAAATTTTACTCTGGAATTTGGGAAGACCAGTTTAAAATATGCCTTTTAATGTTCTAAAAAAAAAAAAAAAACAAACCACCTTTTAAGAAATGAATTCCTTGATGTGTAATGCTGTATTTCTGGTGAAATAGAAACAACCTGAAGGCTAAAATTTAGATTTTGGTCTCTGCCTTGAGCCTGGCACACTCTGAAAAGCTTCTATTTGATCTTTTCATCTGAGTCCAGTGTGTTGATCTTCTACAGCTGTCTATATAACCTAAGAGCCATCTGATAGAACTCTGGGTAGGGGTCCCTTTTTGGGCCATTTAACTCACAGACCCACGCTTGTTAAGAGAACAAGTATCGATTTATACCAAAGACATTTTCAGGGCACTCTTGTGCCCTCTACCTGAGTCTAGGAGCTCTCAGCCACATTTAGGGAAGAAAAGAGGGATTATAGGCTTATTGGAGTCTCTGGGTGGTACAAACAGTTAAGGTGCTCATCTGTCAACCGAAAGGTTGGTGGTTAGAGTTCACTCAGAGGCACCTCAGAAGAAAGAGCTGATGACCTACTTCTGAAAAATCAGCCGTTGAAAACTCCATAGAGCACATTTCTACACTGACACACATGAGGTCACCATGAGTTAGAATTGACTTGATGGCAACTGGGTTAGGCCAATGGCCACTCTGGCCACAGAGGGATAAATTTGCCTGCCTCTGTCAGTTGGCCTCAGTGTTCACTCACTGGAGCTCTGCTTTTGGAAAAGGAGGATGTGGGGAAGAAGAGAATATAAACAAACCAAGGACACTGAGTAGCAAATCTGCCAAATCAGCCTTGAATATACACCAAAGCGTGTCAGAGAGCCTCATTTTGTTTTTTAAATGCTCCAAAGGGCTCTGGCAGGATGGAGAATACCATTTTCTAAACTTTTGAATTTTCTAAATTCTCACTCAAATGGCATCTGTGTAGACAATGGGATAAACTGCTTTGGAAGCCAAATTTCAAGTTTCTAAGGCATAATTGTCTACATCTGTGTAAATTTCAGGAAATAGTTGTGCCAGAGGAGATGCTATGAGTTCAATATAGGATAAGGTAGACACCTGGACACAAGATCAATTCCAGGCTACTCTCTCTTGCTTCTTTCCTCTCTTCTCTTTGTTTTCTGGACATACACATATCCTTTCCTCTCGCTCACAAACACAACTGTGTCAAGACAAACAGGTGAATAGATTTCCAAAAGAACTGATACTAATACTTCTACATTGATTTGAATATTGTTTCTAGAAATATAGACAAGAAAAGGTACAAATAATCTGTAATTTTTCAACACAGATTCCGTACCTGTGGCTGAAGGTGAAATAAATCACATACATACTCACACTCCCAATCTAGGGCACAGAATGTTGACTAAATCTATGACAAAATAGATAATTTTCATGCATT